TTTAATTTTTGTACCAGTTTTTAAACTACTTTCTACTTGCTATTGACTATCATTATCACAAATTATTTAAAGTCTAAGAAATTTTCGAGGGTTATTTATTTGCATTGACATAAATTTATATATAAAAAAAAAAACCGGAAATCTCACATATAGCATTTTGCATATATTCTGAGATCCCCTCTTCATTTCCAGGAAGTGTTGTGCAAAAATTTTTGTCGCTATATAAATTCAAAACCAGAATATATTGCTAAAACGAAATAATTTAATCAATATGAAAGTATAGATAAATTTTTTATTCCTATCAAATATAATTTAAAAATATTCTCAAAAACAATTATTTGTGTTTAAAAATAATTTTTTTTTTTCAATTTCATTCACCGCAAATAAATATTTATTTTTTCCTTTGAGACAAATTTTTATTTTTTCTTTCTAGTTGTATTTTATTGCCAAAAAAAAGAAAAATTGAAATTAGAATATTCGGGGGGAAAAAAAAAAACTTTTGAATTTATTTCCAATAGCTCATGAATGCAAAGAGTTTGCAGACTCCAAACTTGTTGCCAGGCAGTCCCGAGGCCAACCGTTATAACCATTTCCCATCGACCTAAGCTTTGTAAAAGTATACGCGACTATATCCAGGGCCAAGAATTCAAAGAGATTCGTTAACCCGAGATGAGACTAGGCAAACATCATTTAATAGATTATGTTTCCTCTGTCTCAGCAAAGTTAGCCTCACAATACACAAAGGTTAATAATTTACGTCAGATATTAAATTCATTTAAAAAAAAAAAAAAATTATTAACAACAATCAAAATCATTTAAATTCTCCCTCGTCAGTTAAATAATATTATTATTCAAATTATTTTCATTGAGAATACGTCAGACTTACACAGAAAAATTTTAGTGCCAGATATGTCTAAAATTAAATTATAGATTTGAAAATAAAACCGCGGTATTGTTATATAGAAACGTAAACATGAATTATACAATTTTTAATATACAAATTTGCAAAATTTATGAATTCACATTGGCCGAAGTCGCTTATTCGCTAGAAATTGAATTGCGTTCGAATCCCCTTGTAGTTAAAAAAAAAATTGATTCCTATTATAACGTTAATTCAACGTACAGTAGAACCTCGATTATCCGAACCGAAAAACATTTTATCCGCGAACTTCTATTATTCGAACTATTTTTTGGTCTCCCGAATTTTAAATTTTATTTTCTCTATTTATTTTATCATTCAAAGCAAAATAACCAAATTTGTGCCAAAAAAAATCTTAAAAATTTCCGAATTTTCTGAATTTTTAATATTATTATTAATTAATATATATTTACATATATGTATATACTTATGTATATTCACTCAGAAAAAAATTCGTTTGAAGCAACCAAATTTTGGTTAAATCAACAAAATAAATGCATTGATATACGCAGTTAACCAAACATTTGGTTGCATAAACCAAACGTTTATTTAGCTCAATCAAATTTTTTCTTTGTTCAAAAAATTTATTAAAATAAACCAAACAGTTATTTAGATCAAATAAATATTTTTTTGAATTAAACAAATTTTGTTTGAACTAACCAAAAAATTGGGTAAATATAAAAAAATGGTACCTTTGGTTCAAACATATTTTTTTCTGAGTGTTTAAAAACATATGTATTAAGTTAAATATATAGTTCAACTGTACATTTTTTTACTTTAATTATAAAAAAAAAATTAAAATCTCTATTATCCGAATTTTCGATTATCCGAACCCGGCCTTGCCTAGATTAGTTCGGATAATCGAGGTTCCACTGTATATATATATTAATTGTCATCTCTAAATATGAATAATTAAAAATAACTAAAAATAATTAGTAAAGTATAATTACGAAATGTTGCATATCTGAAAATAAGAGCTTTCATTCAACTTAAAATAAGATTTTCCCGTTCAGAAAAAAATAAACAAAAGCAAATTTTCTTTTCCTTTGTTTTTATGCCAAAAAATTAAATTACGTTTTAATATCAGACAAGCTGTTTGAAAAAATAAGAATTCAGAAAAATGTTATTAAAACGTATTAACAATTAAATTATAAAAGTTACAAATTTAAGACCTTGTAATATTCTTCGAGAGTGTGGAGTTGTTGTCACGATTTTTGTCATATACATTGTTCGGAAGGATATGACGTGGCGCCCAGGACTAATTGTTTCTAATTGCAATAGAATGTTCTGTTTGATATGAGAAACATCTAAAGCTCATACCGCTTATCTTGCGCATTACATATATATATATATATATATATATATATGACATATTAAGGAATTTTTTCTTAAATATAAGGTACACTGGAACTTGAAACAAATCTAAAATTAAAATCTAATTTTTTTTTTTTTGGAATTTATACAACAAAGAAAAAAATATTTTGCTCAAAGTAATTCTTTTGAAATGATGAATCAATCTAAAAAGCCAAGTGATTTTCTGTTTGCGTTTTTCGTAATAGACTTCCGCTGCTGACATACGAATGCAATCTACCTTTTTTTTTTTTACTCTGAACTAATTTCCATATAAAAACAATTTACTCTTAATGAAATATATAACAAACAATAATAATATGAAAAAAATATGTAAGTCAATAATGACTTTTAATATACTTTTATGATGTTAAACTTATAAAAACCATTACAATATAATTTTCTTTTAATTATAATTATTAATTTCTAATTTAAGAAAAAATTAATTTTAATAATATATAGATATATATATATATATATATATATATATATTTATATATTTATATTAATCTTTGTTTGCTTCGACAAAATTACGACGTCAATTAAAAAATATAATAGTAAACAAAAATTGTATAGAACGCAAAAAGCAAATAGATATGAAAACATTATTATTGTATAACAAGTTTTTTTTTGTCTGTAATATATATGTTTTCAATGTCTCTTATATTTTGAAACCAAAATTGTTTTTGACATTATTTGCGCAGAGAAACATTTTTCATATATATATATGATAATAATTAGACGCAAATAAATATAGTTTCACGATTATTGATAATCGACAATAAAATAGGAAAATTGATACGGTCACCAAAGTGTAACGAATATTGTCAGAAAGATATATTACATCACTATATAGTTAAAAGGGTTAGTGTATGATTAATATGACAATTATTGTATAAGAAGAAAAATAACTAATGGTTTTTTTTCTGTCGTATACTGATGATGGTATATATATTTGTTTTATTTTACGCGATACTAAACAATTTTCCGGGTAAATCCAATAAATAATATTTATTATACACTTCCAAGGAAATCATTATTTATTATATAATTTGTTAATAATTGTTTCTATTTTTTTTTTGCAAGTAAACAAATTGCAAATTTAAGCAAAATAATGAAAATTCATTTTCCATTTAATATTTATTTTGTATTTAATTTAAAAATTTTAATTTTTTTTAAAATTTTTTATTAATCGCATTTTGTTTGGAATTTATGTTATGGGTAAATAATCATATTAATAAGTTGCTCTTGAGTTCAACTAACTCAGGGATGTATCGACCAAATAAAGTTCAATGGCTGCTATTCTATTATGACGATATATCTTATCATTAAATATATGTAAATTTGCATATATTGTATATATTTTTTTTTCGAATCTTAAAAAAACTTGTCGCGTATAAAAAAGAAATGGACTATAAAAAATAATCTTATAATACTACCTTAAGAAAATTAATAATTAAAAAAAATCATAGTTACTAATTTATGTAAACAAAGAAAATATTTAAAAAAAGTAGTCTTATTTACAAAGACTATACAAAATAATTTAAAATTATTTGTCTTAATAAAATATATAATGTAAGATTTATATTTTTTTTTCTCAAAAATATATACATTGTTTTGAAACAAATGTCACGTGGACCAAATGTAATTCAGGAAGCAATGATTCTAAATTATATAAACTAAACTATAATGTTGATTGTTGAATGCATTGCGAGGTTAACGGACAATTAAACTCCCTCGATTAATATATTGATATTCGAGATATTGCACGTTCTCTTTTCTATTCATATAAATTACAACCACGATTGTATGCAACTTTATCATAACTTGACACATATAAATTACGAAAAAAAAAAAAAAAAAAATTATTAATTTCTAATGTGTCACTAACAGTTAAAGAAAATATAAATAAGAAGCAAATACAAATTAAAATTTATGACAAAAGTTCGTTAAATTAATTTATATAATTTGTTCTTCATTAATTATTAAATTCAATATAGTTAAAAATTATTTTAAAATAATTATTTTTTAAAAAGTAAATACAAATAATCATTTTTTTTATCACATTCACTTTAATTGTAATTAAAAAAATAAATTAAATTAATTTTAAATAAAAAAAAAAATTTAATAAATATTTAAAAATTATTAATTTCTAAGAAACATTATTTGTTTAAACTTTTAAAAATTTAATATCAAAATCGATCATCATACTAAATGGCATGCAGCGCCCTCCTAATTTACAGGTATAGAATTTTTCAACACCTGTCATCACCTGCCGACAGGTGTTAACGTGTATTGTCGACACACTGTAAAATAGAAATGGAACTAAGCCTCGAGAGATAACAGGTGATTGTAAGAATCTTTTATCTTTTCTATACCTGTTTATCTCCGTCGATAAATGAACTTTATACCATATATGGTAACTTATTTCAAGAATCATTCTCTGTTTTATCATAAGTCGATAACTAATTTCAAAAAAATATTTTTAAATTTTATACGCAGAAAATTAACAATTTCATAAACAATATAAATATTATTTTATAATATTTATTTTTTAAATAAATAAAAATTATATGTAAATTTTTCATTTATAAAAATTAGAAAACCTTTAGACACAAAAAATTTTTTAAATTTATATAACATAAACAATTCTTTTAAGAATCAAATTAAAATTAATAACTATTGCATTAAATGTTTTATGAAAAAATATGCAAAAAAAAAAAAAACTTACTCGTGTCGTTTTCGTGTTGTTTAATCCCATCCCTAATATTCTCCGGTGCAGTTGAGAGGCCTGTAAAAAGAAATACATAATATTATAATAAAAAATTTTTTAAATACTTGCAAAAAAAATGTTGGATAAAATATTAAACAAATAGTAATTAATAATTTTCAATTATATATTGAAAATATTAAACTAATAATTTTTTTCAATATTGTACTTGTTTTTTTTAGCAAGAAAAATTTTAATTTGCAATTTCAGTAAATCAGTAATAAAAAGGACACACCCCTTCCTTCTTTACATAACCTGTCAGCATAATTATGGCGAAAGGGAAAAAAAAAAAAACAGTATTGAGGTTTGAAATTTTAGCCACAGGCACATAAATTCCATATATGTTCTACCAAAATTATCTAGATACAAGTTTGAAACTTTGCACTTTGTTTAATATAGAGAAAAAACAATTCTGATAATTTTACAAATTATATAATACTCCCTTTTTTCTAAATTACGTAAATGCATTTTGAATATAAAACAAAATTTATATAAATGAAAATAATAAATATTTACTTCAATTATAGTAATCAATAATCAAGTAATTAATTATTTAAATGAAAATACAAAATTTTAAGGAACACTGAAAAAAAGATTTGGTATTAACAACCAAACGTTTAGTTGGTATTAAGCAATATTAAGCAACCAAAATTTTTTTGTTGAATCAACAAAATTTTGGTTGTCCCAATTAAACTTTAGTTAGGACAACAAAAATCCTTTTTTGCAAATTTTGGTTGTGTCAAATAAATTTTGGAGACAATTAAAATTTTGTTGATTCAACAAAAACATTTTGGTTGCTTAAATACCGCAACCAAACTTTTTGTTGTCAATACCAAACCCATTTTTCAGTGAATGTTTTTAGAAAATTGTTTATATACAAATAAATGGAAATTTTCAGTAACAACATCAGAATGCTTTATTGCAATCATTAAAAATCTTTGATAGGAAGGAAGATTTCGAGATTAGATAAAAAAAAAAAAAAAATACGAACAATGTGCATAATTAGATCAATCATCTGATCAATAATATTTTGTTGAACTTTTTATAAATTATACACTATTGGTTTTTCAAATTGCATTACATTGAAAATAATTGTTTTAAAAAAGATAACTGATGGGTTGGTAATTCTTTGAAATTTTTTTTTTTAGAAAATTACTATTGTTTGCTAATTAAAAATACTTTTATTTCAGGTATTCATTTAGAAAATTCTTATCTCCCTCTATTCATATCTATAAATTTTATGATTATATTCATAAATACTTATCGTAAATGACAATTTCATTTTTAAAAATTCGAATCGAATTTTCATAACTAAATTTTTAAATCTGCAAAATTTCTCATGTTCAAAAAATAATATTCGACTGGATTTTAGCGCCAATTTCAAAATTAAACAATCAGAATTCAAAATTATAAATAAAGTTCTTATTATTATTATTATAATTATTATTTTATATTCTTTAAATTAATATTTACATATCGATATCCATTGGACATATATCCAATGTTTTTAAAAAGGTAACATATATATTATGCAATAAAACTGAATCCAATCGATAATCCTATAAATAATTTACATACGGTAACTCTTTAATATGTTTTATGGCTTTACCTAAACTTAAAACGCTTTCCGTCAAATAAAATCAATGTTAATATTCCTATAAAGAAAACATATTGAAATTATTGGCAGGTAATAAATTAATTATTTATATTGAAATTTCCAAAAGAGTTTGCCATATATAAAAGAAATTGACTCCAAAAAAATACAAAATTATATGATATATATGCTTGCAATAATTACCGGAAAAATGACATGGAAAGAATTATTTAATTTTACACTTCCGCTCTGCCTTTCAATAACAAACAGGAAGCACGAAAGAATTTAATGATCCTGAAAACGTTTAAAATGAAAATTTTTTTTTTTACATATGCGTGAATTTTTTAATTTAATTAAATTAAAATTTACAATACATACTCTGACAGTAATGAATGAACTGTGATTTATAATAAAATATTAAATAGTTTTAAAAAAAAATATGTATAAAAAATATTTGAAATTATCAAATAAATATACAATATATTAGAGTAATTATAATTTAAACGTTTTCCTTTCTAAAACTATTAAGTTCTATTCTGTTAATGAATATTGCACTTAATTTCTCGCAAAACATCACAACCTATAAGGCAGTGAAAACCACAGAATCGGCGAATGATATTTCTTTTAATTAAATTCTCAAGTAACTTAAAAAAAATCAGATTTCTCTTTTCTAATTTATAACACTTGCCACAAGTGAACTTGCGATTCTATTATATGTATATATTGACAGTTAACTAATATATATATTAAAAAATTACAATACAGGAAGTATCTGAATCTAATGATGATTCAAAGTATAAATAAAACTATATAATAAATGGAAGAGAATTTCAAAAAAATTAATTTCTCATTTGGAAAACAAGTTCAAGAGCAATATGCTTCATAAAAATTATTATATCAGAACATATATTTACATAAACCTGTATTAAGATAAAGAAAACTGAAACCCCAGTTCAATGTACCTAAATTTTATAAGCATTGTAAATTATGATAATAATACTAAAATTATTATTATATGATTTTTATATAATCAGAGAAGCGTAAAAGAAATCATAATTAAAAAAAAAAAGAAAAAACCAAATTTCACAATTCTTAAAAAAAAATATAAAGAAAACTACACTCAGAGAAAATAAGATTTCTTTGATTTAAAGAAACCAGTTTCTTTGACTTGTTTTCTTTTACTCAAAATAAAATTTTCTTTGAAACAAAAAGATTATTTTAATTATTTTCTTTCTTTTATTTATAGAAAATTTCTTTGATTCAAAAAAAATTTTCTTTGAATGAAAGAAATTTGTGCATTAAATCGAAGAAATTCTAACATTGGTATATAGGGTCAAAGAAACATTTATTTGAATTAAATAACAAATTTCTTTGAAACGAAGATAATTTTTTTTGTTTAATCAAAGATAATTTGTTTGAAACAAATAAATTTTCTTTTGAATCGAAGAAAAATTTGTCAAAGAAATCTTTTTTCTCGATGTAGCAGAAAAAAAAAAGTTTTACTGTCATATTACATAGAAATGTAAAGTTACGTAAAAGTAATAAGAAAAAGAGCATCACATTATCAACAATAGTTTTCAATTTTTTTTTAATATTGTTACAAAAAATTTATTATACTATGCACAAATTTGTAACATATTTAATTTTACGAGGAATATTAAAATTTTTATGAAATTACATTTTTATTAATAAAATATTTAATATGACGAAAAAAAAAATTTTAAATTCATGGCTAAAATATTTAATTTTATGCAAAATACTTAATTTTTATTATTGAACAATATAATATTTATACTGTTTCTCTGAAAATTAATATAATTTTAAATTTTTGACGTTTATAACAAAAAAAAAAAGAAAAAATTTTTTTTTTTTTCATAAACCACATGCAATAAACAATCATTATCAAATGCACTCACGTGTACATGTGACGCAGGAATGCTTTATTACTGACAACTTATCTTCCGCGCATTGATATTTAATAACATCCTTCGATTTATTTCAAAATATAGGTATAATTTTTATTTTTTGATATTGTCAATGAAAACATTTGTTTACTATAAAAGAGGGTTCAATTTTTTGATTTTAGAAAATTTTAAACAATAATTTTTTTTTTTTGATAAAATTCAAAAATTCAAATAAAACTTTCTAGACAAATAAATTTAGTTTTATTGATAAAAAACAAAATTGTAACTATTAAAAAAATGAAAATATAAATTTGTAGTTTTTTTTTTTTTAATTACATACCAATTTTAGCAGAATTTTCAATAGCTTTCCACATTGTTGAATTGCACGTTGTACTATCAATGATGTTTAAATTAGAAAGCAAAAACAAAATTAAAGAAGCACGTGCAAAATCACTAAAAAAACGAATAATATCACAAAAAATTGCACTGTCACAATTAATTACAATCACAGATGATATAACTAATATTTAATCACTTATCAAGATTTTCTGCCAACAAAATGCAATTGTAAATTTTCGAAATGATTTTTTTCAAAAATTTATTACAAGCGGTGGGTCACGAATTCCAATAAATTTCCACTAAATGTAAATGACAATTTGTCCACATTGAAGATAAATTTCTAATTGATAAATTTTTATTGCACTGATACATTTGTTGTTTACGTTTTGAAGAAAATTTTTAATTTTTGAAAAAAAGAAAACACAAATTTTGCTCCAAAGTTTCGAACTAACCAATAGCACCTTTTAAAGTAAACTAAACTACTGCCTGCCTTTGCTTTTGGGATCGAGAAGGGCTTTCTTTGAAGAAAGTAAAATATAACCTGCGATCTCTGGGAATGGTTGTTGATGGTAAAATGAGGGTTGGGCCTAAAACTCAATTGACGCCTCCAGATGTGAGTAGCTCAATGAACACTGAAGATATTGTCTGAAGGTTCCTCTTCTGTCAACCAAACACGTCAACTTAATGATTAGATCTTTATCAATTATAAAGGCTCGCGACTCACAATCATGTATTTTGTAATGATACAGTAATAAGCGGGACAGTAGCAGATGGTTTTTTTTTTTGAGAAATTTCTTTCAAAAAAAAAAAAAAAATTGCAATATTCGAGTTTGCAAATATTAAAAAAATATTTATTTACTGAAACGCACACTTTTGGAAATTTTGTTTTTTTTTCAAACAATTAATTTTGGAAAATAAAAAGAGTAATTTAAAAATCATTAAAAAAAATTTCAGCTAACATTAACCTTCATTATTAATCTTATCAAATATTTTTATTACATTCCCTTTCAAGTAACAGTTATTCTATTTTTAATGACGTCAAATTATCATATTTCAACCAAAAAAATTATTATTTCACTGTGATTTACAAACACCGTCACTAATTAGTAAATTTTTAATAAAAAAAAAAATTATATTATCAATGAAGAAAATTTTTCTAAATCAAATTAATATTTAATGAATAA